CCTGCTCCTGCATTTCTTTCCCTCCCCTTTCCACCCATTTGGCCTCTCTGGATTTCTTCGTCCAGTGCCTGCAAAAAAGTTTCTTTGCACAGCCAGCCCCAGTCCCCTGCTGGCTCCTTCCCCTAGCCCCAGTCCTCCCTCCCACCCCCTCCCCAGGATCCTTGTCCCTGTCCCCTACCACCTCAATCCTGATCTCATTCTCCTTGCGCAGCCGGTTCAGTCCCATCCTCCTTCAACTCCTCATTTCAATCCATCTTCCACATCTTCCAGCCTCCATGGATTCCCAGTCACCCCCTTCTGTCCAGGCTCATCTCATCAAATCAGTCCCATTCTCCCGCGATTCCTTGTCCGCTCTGTCTTCCTACATCACCCACACCCCGGTCTCTGGCCTGCACTTCCAGACATCTCCTGGTCTTCCCCATGGGCCCTTCTGAGACTCCCACTCACCTGACTGACACACCCCTCGACCCCACAATATTTTCTCAGTCCTTGGTAGCACTGTAAAGAGTTTGCAGGGTGCGTATGGAAGGGCAAAATCATCATCTAAAGAAAACTTCAGAGAATGTAATACAGTGGTCTGTGTTGTCATGCCTACGAGCAGAGAGGAAAGGAAGTAAAACCCAGGCAGGTCTTACAGATATACCACCAAGCCTACGTTCCTTTTACAAGCAGCAGCCCAATGCAATTCGTACATTACACAGAGCCATCAACAGATCTGAAATGAATAATGCATTAGAAACTGCAGTGTTCTGGTTTCAGTCATAAGCAAGGTAAGTTTAATCTGTGTATGTATTAAAGGTTTTTTTTTAAAAGTTCACTTCTGTAATTACAAATTGGGAAGTGGAGCTTATTCTTTGATACAGCTACTTCAAATGTTTTAGCTACATTATGACAGCAAATGTTATTTTTATTGACAGGCTTTAAGTAATCTCAGTTCAGGCTATGCAAAACTGAAAAAATCTGATCCTTGAATTGTTTCTCCAAACACATCACGATTTTGGCCTTTGAGAGATGCTGAATTTCAGCATGACATATAAAAAACTGCCACAGCAGCATTGCAGGGGCCAAAAGCACTAACTAGAGGTCACAGAATGGCTGTGAGCTGCCCACGCGATGCACCCGTGACACAGGTAAGGGTGACCCTAGGGTGCCTCAGGCACAGGGAAGTGTTAATGCCATTGCTCTAGTCCACGGCGAGCCTTCATTTAAAACAGTGGTTTTCAACCTGCGGTCCGCAGACCCTGGGGGGTCCACAGACTATGTCTAAGTGGTCCACAAGAAAGGACTATGATTAATCAAAAATAGGTGAATACCCACACATACAATTCAAAGGGGTTTGCACCTCCATTCAAAAATTTTTTTAGGGGTCCACAAATGAAAAAAGGTTGAAAACCACTGCTCTAAAATGCTGTATACAGCTACGGTCATTTGTATTTGAGACAGAGGAACTAAAACTGGAACCAGCGCAGGAAAGGGCTACAAGCATGATCAGGGGAATGAAAAGCCTGAAATCAAGAGCCTGGCTTGTTTAGCCCAGCAAAGCAGGAGCCTGGGAGGAGATGGGATTCCTACTACAAAGAAGGTAAACTCTGGAGAGAAGAGCTCTTGAAGCCCAAAGGCCAATACTGGTACAGGAACAAACAGCTATTAAGTGAGGCTGGATGTTAAAAGGTTTCTAACCAGCAGCACAGCGAGAGTCAGGTCAGGCTTCCAACGGGCGCACAAACACCCGGCATTTGTCCAAGGTCGGGGCTGACAGGATGCCCCTGCTAGTCCTGCACGACTATGCTCCCCGGAGAGCTCCCAATAAAAGCAGCATTATAAAAAGCTTTTACAGATTTAAATGATTGAAGATTCTAAATACTAAAACCTGTTCTGAAAATAATTCTCATTAATGACTTGTCTGAGCATTATGATGAACAAACAAGTACTTCAGGTAAAAATCACAGGAACAGCTTTATCTAAAAATGAACCATTGGAAAAAAAATATTACATATGATATGCTTTCTATATCAGCTATTTGATTTGGAAATAATCACTACATTCGCTGTTGAGCTCAACGTAATGAGAATCTAGAAGTCCTCCGATAAAAAAAATAAGAATTTAGCACAATAATAAGGAAACCATCATCCTTTTCCTATACCAACCACAATCTAGAGCTTTCCTACATTTGTTTGTAAGTAAAGTAGCAGTTGAACTAAAGACTAAACCCCCCCAAATCAGAAGAGCACAATAATGTATCCCCAAACATACAGCTCAGAACCAGGCAGACTACAGTACTCCTACTGCACAAGTGAGAAGTGAAGTCGTCACCGTCTTTCCTCCACCTCCAGACAGAGCTCTCTGCAGACAGTGAAGTGCGATTATGAGACCAGCGGAGCAGAGCTCTAGGGAGAAATTATCAGCTGAAGAATTCCCTAACAGCACAAAACTTTGAACTTTAAATACTTTTTCTTCAATGTCT